AGCGCGCGAGTGAGTTCGTATTATGTTTTTAGACTTGTGTGCGTATTTGGTTTGGAGCCCCGAGGGCTCGGGTGAGTTTCGGATTGGTCTCGGAATGTTCTTGCATAGTTCTTAATTGCTGGTTCTGGTATTTTCGCATTTGCAAGTTTATCGCAAATGCAGCCATCGCATTTGCGAAGCCTGGGCGACTGGGCAATTTTCGCATTTGCGATGAACCAGCCGCATTTGCGAAGGCTGGTCTTCGCATTTGCGAAGCATTTGTCGCAAGTGCGACCTCAGCAGGAAATCTTCAGGCATCGCAATTGCAATGCATTTTTTTGCAATTTTGGGTTCGCAATCGCAAATGCGACATCTGCAGCCTGTTAAATGCTGAGAATTCCGAGTTTTTCTTCATTTTTTCATATTTTTGAACCCTAGCTTCGGAGTGAGGCGATTTTTAGAGGGGATTTTCATGCCAAGTCATTGTGTAAGTATCTTTAATCAATTTCCAACTATATTTCATGATTTTATACAATACATAAACAAAGATGGATTTGTGAATGAGAAATATAAGTTTCCTATTTTCATAGGAATCAATGGGATTATTTCAAATTGTTCAAGTGGGCTGGAGACAATCTGCGCTAGATCCAGTGTGAAATAAGTGAATTTATCCAGTTGAGGCATTCTTGATTGATTGAGACAAAACGATTCCCTCAATACAGCTTAACTCCGTCAAGCCTGTACGAGTAGTGAAGAAGTATAGAGCACTTTAATCGGTTGTTGACCAACGAAAAGCATGGGAGAAAGATGCACAAACGAAAAAGGGCTAAAAAAAAGGACGAAGTAATTTCGTTTTAACATCAAATTCATGGGAAAACTATGGAAAAATTTGGAGATTTTGTCAAAGTTTTGAAAAATGAAAATTTGGGAATAAGACTCGGATTTGAAAACAAAACACATATTTGGACTCGGGAGGCTGTGGGTAGTCAAGACCTACCCTTGGACCCGAGTTTTGACCGGGCGGGCTCGGAGTTTGACTTTTGTTGACTTTTTAGAAATTGAATAAAAATCATAGCTTTATTAATTTAAATTGTTTTCTCTTGCATTGTGTGGTGTATTCAAGTCGTCATTGGCTAGATTGAGTCGAGCGGAGGCGAATTCGTAGAGGAAAAGGCTAAATTGAGTGTTGGATTAGCCAAATTGAGGTAGGGGTATTAAACGGGCCGGGTCAGCCCGGTTCGGGACCGGCCCAGACCGGTAGAACCCGGAACCGGCCCGGACCGGTAAGGGGGGGCTGGGCTGGGCTGGGTTAGGGGGGTTGGGCAAGTTGTTCCGTTTACATTTTAAATACCGGTTACCCGGACCAGTAAAATTCGTTAGATGAACAGTGTTGTTAAACCGGTTAACCGGCACGGCCCGGCCCGGCCCGGCCCAGATCGTGAATATACCATAAATATACCATGAATATACTAAAAATATACCATGAATATATCATGAATATACCATGAATATACCAATTATTGTATACTAATTAACATAATTTAAAATTTTTGGAATTTAACATATAGTGTATATATTTAGGGTATAAAACTATAAATGCTCAAATCATAGAATATGATGGTAACGTATTATTTTTAAAATATGCTATATATGTGTTATTTTAAGATTTTAAGACAATTTGTGTTATTTTAAATTATTAGACGTATTTATGCTTAATGTTTTAGTTTGTTAGATTAATTTGAAGTATTATTAATTTATTATGCATGAAAATTTAGTTTTACTATTTTTTTGTTAATTTATTTTTTAAATGCAAACTTTAATTTTGTAATTTTGAAATAAATGTAGCACTTGCAATTTATAAGTGCAATTTTTCCCATCTTCCTTGTATTCTTTATATTAATACTTTGTATTAATATAACTTACAATAGTTATACAAAATATAAAAAAAATTAAAAATACACTAAACCCGGCTCGGCCCGGCCCCCTCAACCCGTAACCCTTACAGTTCAATTTTTATCCGGATGAACCCGAACCCGTTAAACCCGTTAAGAACCAACCCGGAACCGGCCCGGGCCGTAACCCGTACGGGTCCAAAAAATAGGCCCGGCCCACCCGTTAAACACCCATAAATTGAGGTAAGTATTTTGCCTAGCTTTGTTGAGGGAATTTTTCTTCCTATTTGTCATTGTTTGCTACGTGCGGAGGTGATACGTATATGACTATGAGGTGACGAGCGTATATGTATGTGCCAGGGTTAACCATGCTCGGGGGGTGGATTATATTATATTTGTGTTTGTAGAATTTTGTGACATTCTGCTTAATGCCTTGTTTGACTCTTAGATACTAAGGACATAATATTAAATGATGGATATCAAGACTTAGTTTGTTATAACTTGATCAAACTTGATGGGAATTGTAAGAGTACATTGATGTATCTAATTCGGTCATCTCTATGCGAAATCATTAGTACACTACTATAACCGATATTCTTAAGATGCTAGACTCTATACTTGTGTTGTGAATCAATTATGAGATTCGTGGAAATATTTGAATAATACGATTCATGAGGGTTGTTGAACCATTGTTGACTTGGAAAGTTGTGTTTGGGAATTGTCTGGAATATCCATTAAAACACTCTCCTTGATGTCTGTTATGCTTCCTGCCTTGTTTGTTACGGTTATATATATGCTTGGTAAGGAAGAGTGTAAAGCACGAAGGGTGATGCCGTGCCACATTATTGAGAGTAAAAGCACGAAGGGTGATGCCGTGCCGTATTATTGAGAGTAAAAGCACGAAGGGTGATGCCGTGCCACATTATTGAGAGTAAAAGCACGAAGGGTGATGCCGTGCCATATGATTGAGAGTAAAAGCACGAAGGGTGATACCGTGCCACATTATTAAGAGTAAAAGCATGAAGGGTGATGCCGTGCCATATCATTTGAGAGTAAAAGCACGAAAGGTGATGCCGTGCCATTTCATTTATATTATAATGCTTGTATGTTATGGTGAGGTCATGGCACGAAGGGTGTTTCCGTACAGGTGAGGACGAGGGACATGCATTCTGATGTGATATTTGTTTTTCCCGTGTATAGGGTTGTGCCCTTACTTTGAAGTGTTATTGTTGTATTTACATACTTGGTGTGACTTGTTGTTATTGTCCTGTACTTGACTTTATCTCAATTGCTGTTGCACTGTCCATGTCCTTTACTTGCTTAGCTTGAAATTACCATGTCTATTCCTGCTTTTATAATTATATTCATGTTGTATCTATTCTGTTGCACTTTAGTATAGGCCTTCCACCATGCTAGCCATTCATGCCTTTACTTGTTAACTTGTAAAGAACATGTGTTTTCTTCTTAGTTGTTATATTTGTACTTAGGCCTTCAATATGCTAGTTAATTGAAGTTGATATTCCCTGTCTTCCAATTGTTGTTGTACTCACGTGCTTTTCGCTTAGTCCATTACTGTGATCCACATGTGTTTCCTTGTCCACTGTTGTTACTGGCGTGTTTCCTATTTAGTATTTCCTATTATTGTGTTCCTGTGATGTGGTTGGTACTGTTATACGATTACTTGGAAAGGATGAGTTGAACGCACGAAGGGTGTTGCCGTGCTAATTGAATTGTTTCATAAATTTATTTATATATGGTGAGGATGAGATAAAAGCACGAAGGGTGTTACCGTGCCATGTGATTTGAGATTTTGGCATTTTAGACATGTGTCTCATACCAGGGAAGATCGTAAACATTCTACTGTGATTCTTTATAATATTCATTATCTGACTCGCCGGGTTGTACTTGATACTTTTATCTATTTTACTTTGAACTGCTTTACTGTTAATCTAATGTACATGTTATTTTAATAAGCATCTTTTTAACTAAAGCCTCGTCACTACATCGACGAGGTTAGACAAAATACTTACCAGTACATGGGGTCGGTTGTACTGATACTGCACTTCTGCACGTCCCGTGCAGATTTTGGAGCGGAGTTGCTAGTGACGTCGGGTGCTGATTCGGAAGATGTTCGTGCGTTTGGATATAGCTGCCACTTGTCCTTGGTAGTTTAGGTATTGCTAATATGTTATGTAACCTTCAAACAGAACGTGTATTTATTTGTATCAGTTTTGAAAATTCAAATCTTAGAAGCTCGTGATTCGTACTACCTGGTCTTGGTAAATTTGTAAACGTTCAGTTATCTATTTTCTATTCTCTTATAATCTTAGTTGAGTGGTATTTTCTGTTAGTTGGCTTACCTAGCGGGTTGAGTTAGGTGCCATCACGACTTGTGGTTTTTGGGTCGTGACGACAACTAAGCACTTTTAGTCCAACTGATGAAACATTCAAAACAAAGTACTTTCTTCGTTTTAAAAAAGAATGAACTTATTACTATTTGAAGTCAACCAATATTTTTTTTAAATAGTTTTAAACAACTTGATTTATTAACTGTTGTAACTTACAATACTTTTTATGTAGTTTTAAAATATATAAATTTTATTTCAAAAGAAAAATTTAAAGAATCTTTATCTAAATTTACACTGAAAATTAGTTAATTTGACCCTCGTACTCAGAAAAGGTTCAAACAAAGTGAATTGGACGAAATATATAACTAACACTTTTAGTCCAACTGACGAAACATCCAAACAAACTGTTAAAACTAAAGGAAATTATTATGTATTTTGCACGTGAGTGGAGTAAAAAATATCCCGGTATTTTTCCATAATTTTATTTTTTTCTCCAATTTTGGTACGACTAGTTATGCAACAAAGAAATACAAAAAAGAGAATCACTTGTAACATTAAAAAGAAAAAAGGCTAATAATTTCAATCATGATTGTTATTTAGCTTGTATATACATGGGAAATATGACATATCTGTTAATTTTAATTATTTTAACCGACTCCATTTGGGTATTGGGAGTTCTATCAATTGAACTAAAAGTGATTAAATTTTGTAAACTCACAGGGTCACATGTATATAATGTAATACATTAGAGACTAAAATAGACTTGCTCCCAAACTTAAAGAGATTATTCCGATTAAAAACTCCATATTCTTTTCTTTAAGAACAAGCCAAACAGAGGTTTTAGTTTTTTGCTCTCTCACACACACATCGCAGCTGCTTCGTCTTGCATCGAGTTTTTCAGTCATGGCGGCTCTACGGTATTTGGAATCACTTTGCAATGCCAATCCAGAGCTTTCCGATTGGTACACTACGCTATCAGATCTGTACCAAAGAAAGCTCTGGCACCAGCTTACTCTCAAGCTTGACCAGTTCGTTTCACTTCCCCTTTTTCAGGTCCTTATTAAATTCCATTTAATATCTGTGAATTTCGTTTTGGTTTAATTGTATTTAGGCGTTTTTTTTTGGGGAATGCTATGGGTATAGATGTGTAAAAGTTAGGGTTTTGTGGAGGGTTTTGTTTTAAATTGAATTCTTGTTCTTATTAGCATTTGTTTCATTTAGCATGAATTAGCATGTAAGATGTCGATAATTTTCCTAATTATGCAATGCAATGCATATGGATTAGCATACATGGAACTAATTAGGACCCTGTTTCCGAACTTAGTGGCAAAATAAGCAGATAGATTATCACGTCAAGTGAAGTTAAGGTGTTTTTATACTCTATCCGTCCCAATTTATGTGAGGCTGTTTGACAGTTCATGGAGTTTGGGAAAGAAATATAGGCTTTTGAAACTTATGGTCTAAAATAAGCCATAGATATTTGTGTGACTATAAATCATCTTATTAAGGGTAAAATAAGATGGTTAAAGTTAAATTGTTTCTAGGTATAAAAATGTATTGTTCTTTGTTGGGACTGACTAAAAAGGAAAGTGTATCACTAGGACTGAGGGAGTGTTATTTTAAATCATCACAATTACATATTCCTCTAAAGAAATGCTCAATCATCTAAATGGGTGTTTTATCGGTTATCCTTGTCCTGTACTCGTGGTGTAAATTGAAGTGGATCTGGTAAAACTAAAGTAATTTAGTAATAAATCGTATCGCTGGGGTCCATTCTCCAGGAATGGTGTTGTTTTTGGAGCTTAGACTGTATTACTACTATATGTGTCTTTATTGCATGAAAGTTTGTACCTTTTGCTTCGGACAATCTATTTGTACCGTGCTACATTTGTGCGTGATTGATTCTGAAGAACGTTACATAAACGGGTGTTTGTTTTATTTTGTTGTGTTGGCATCTAACACCTCTCTTCTCCCTTTAGGCTGGTGACACACTAATACAGTTGTATGACAACTTCATCACTGATTTTGAGACAAAGATCAATCTTCTCAAGCTTGCACATTTTGCGGTCATTGTTTCTCGGCAATACCCTGAGAAAGAGGCTGCTGTAGGTTACCTTGAAGGAGTGACTGAGAAACTTCGTAATACTAAAGAGACACGGATAGAGGAGCCGATTCTTTATATTAAGATGCAGATTGCCCTGTTTAAGCTTGAGCAAGGGGATCAAAAAGAGTGCCAGAAACTTTTAGATGAAGGGAAGACTACACTTGACAGTATGACTGACATTGATCCATCTGTTTATGCGAGCTATTATTGGGTTTCATCTCAGTATCATAAAGCTCGCCAGGACTTCGCCGAGTTCTACAAGAGTTCTCTTCTTTATCTTGCTTACACTTCAGTGGAATCTCTTTCTGAATCATTTAAGCTGGTACTTTGTCATTTCTTGTTTTGTCAACCTGCCCTGCCCAATTTGCTTGTTTGTATTACTTAGCTAATTGTGTATCAATTGTCCATTTATTAAATTATTTTACTTAAATATGGTAAATTGTCGGGATCATTGAGAAAATAGTGAGGCGGGGGAATATTTGTAGTACATCTCTTTGGCTGGATTTATATCTGTAGAAACCACAACTATTTTAGGCATATAGAAGAGCCTCTTACTTAGTCTTGATTCTTGGCAGAAATGAGTTCAAGGCTCAAGCGGTACCTTATATGATGTTTTTTTACAGTCTATGCTACTTGATTTTCAAGAGTATATGATGGAATCACTGGTGGTGAAATTTTCTTGAATCCCTGTCACATTATAGTCACCATCCTCTCCTTTTAATCAGTTAACTAGCAAGAGAATGAAAGCAATTTAAAAATGAAATTGTTTCTCTCCCCCCCCCTCC